TTAAGCTCACGCCTCCTGCTTCAGTTACTCCATCCAGCCACTTCATTCTCTGTTGCCCCTTCTTCTTTTGCCCTCAGTCTTTCCCATCATTAGGCTCTTCTCCAGTGAGTCCTTCCTTCTCATTAAGAGGCCAAAGTACTTGAGTTTCATCTTGAGGATCTGGCCTTCTAAAGAGCAGTCAGGGTTGATCTCCTCTATGACTGACCGGTTTGATCGTCTTGCAGTCCAAGGATAGGGCCACTATCAAAGGCCCAATAGACCTTATCCTCTGAACAGCTGCCTTGATCTACCCAGGGCCTTTCCTTCAGTCACTTATATTCTTTACATTTTTCCCTTTCTTCTCCTCAAACCATTTTTATCTGGAAGAAAATAGTCCCATTTAATCCCAAAACAAATGAAAATGCTTGTTTCAATTTGTATAAAAACTCCCACCTACTCCTATTCAGCTGTTCATTTAGAGAATGAGTCAGTTTAAATTAGGATGAATGCAGTCTAAAGCACAGGACTGCATATGGTCTCACAAAGCCTTAGGGGGACTTCTGACAATTCCTCCAAAGTTCTTGTGAGATCAGATTAGGGTAGATAGGAAAACTGTGAAAGGTATGGTAAAAATAGGAATGAAGAACTATTGCAAATTCCCTGTTTGAAGGAATATCATCTAGCTGTTTTGTCTCTCTGGTTGGTAATCTTATAAATCTAACAAATGTTTATTATAATGGTTGTGTGCTTTTAGACTTGTCATATTTCAATTTGTATGTCTCCCAAGTTCTCCTTTGTGGCTGCCATTTATTATGTCCCCTATAGATTTTTCTTCCTCATCAGCTCCTTTTTTTCATTGTTATATGGAACCTCCAGCATACATATACTTGCTATTCCTATTGCCTAGCATCCCAGTACATCCCAGTATGCCAGATGTCAGCCAATAGCTTGAAGGGCTTGATTTCTGCCATTGCTTAATCATACAACTTTCAAGTCTCATCCAAATTCCAGAGTAACACAAGTTCCTTAAATTAGGAAATTTTTATAATTTCTGAATTTCTTCCATTCAATTTCAATTTTTTTCATTACTCATTCGCTAGAACACATGATGCACATACTGTACAGTGAAAAGTCTCCAATGTTGCTTCTAAATAAATAAGCAAAATTTACAGGAAATATTTTTATTATATAATAGTCAAATATTTTTTTTTCATTTTTTAAGACAAAAAAGAGAACGGACAGTAATAACAGTTTCTCAGATAATGAAAGATACAATGTTTCACGAGAATACGGTCATCAGACAAAAATACATTAGTCCTTCTGGTTCCCCCATAAAGAAAGGATTCGGGGAGGGGGAAAGGAGAAACATAGTAAATAAGTCAAATCTGAATGATTGCACACTTAAAGTACAGGACCAATTTTGTTACCATGTACAACATGATTCTTATTCTATTCTTATTCTTAAACGCACAAAAGCATTTTATTTCCAAAGCAAGCAGTAGAGTTTTTACAGGTCTATATATCAGAAGAACTTCAACATTGGATATAGAAACAATATAGTGTTTTGCCAACATTTCTTTGTGTATCTATTTGAACCATCCACTTTAATATTAATAATATTTGCTATCTACCTATATCAAACCAGGAAAAATATTCTTCAGTCCTGGAACAAATTTGGCAAAATGATGGATCATTTTGAGTGAACCTGCCAAATCTTTCAAGGTATTTTTTGTGCAATTTGTACAGTAAGTGAAAACAGTAGGTGGCCTTCTCTATGTAAAAATATTGACACCTGAGAATATTGTTCTCTGGCGACAGCAGGCTATCCCAAGTTT